CATCTTAAAGTTTAGTCTATATACATTTTCACATACTGGCTTTAAAAAATTCTTGTTTATAAGAAAAAAGTCTAAATAAGAATACAGTACGTAAATGGGTACAAAGTGGAATAAAGTAGAAGACAACCAGAACACTTAAGTACCAAGAAGCCAAGGAACGAAGCATAACTCAGACAACGAACTCTGTGGGGTTAGGGAAGGCTGTGTCTCAGTGTGCATGCACTGCTCCTTCAATAACACTGCACTACAAATGTCTGAGACAGCCTTCAAGGTGCAGATGAAACAAACACAATCTCCCATCTCACCACAGAGGACAAACATTATTATGTAAGCTCATCCTCCTCCAGCTCATGGTCCAAAATGTAAACACTTTGAAAGTTAACCCTTGATCAGCCACATTCACAGAAATAAAGAGCAAAAGCACAGACATTTTCACTATTTGTGTTGCTGGCAACAGAGTTAAGTGATAATCTCAAGACACATTTTTAGATTGATGGCTAAGGTTCAATGGGTTTTACCAGAAAATCCTGTAACTGCAAATATAATTTTGAACCACACCTGCCTGGCAAGCACAAGGCCCTGAGTTCAATCCCCAGTACCCAGGTGATGTGGTGTGTGTGTATGGGATTATATATACTCTGAATTTGGTATAAAAGTACAATATGGTCAAATAACTCAGCCCACAAATAGGAATAGTGAAAAATAATTCTTTAAAACTCTACTAAAGCACTACAATTCCCTTTCAAATGCTACAATTTCAAGTGTCTCACTCCTTCACCACATTTTATTGCCGCTCTGCTTTCCATAAATTGTCTTCTTGTTCCCCTCTTTAATATATTGAGCTATCTCTTCATTTTTCTCCCAGGGATTGCAGCTTCACTTTCGTGAGTTGTCTTCTGAAATTTGCTCTGGATGTTCTTGAAAACTCTTGCCCAGGAACATTTCAAATAACATTTCATCAAAGCTTCCTCCAACTCCTTTGCATCACAGATATCCATACTGCTAAATTTTATAACTGAAAATTTTCTGTGTGCAATCAAGTGGTAACCACAAGCTTCCAAGGCAGAATTAAAGATGTTACCCTTTGCTTGTGATGCACGATGACACTGCATCTTCCCATAAACCTATTTTCATATTTGTGTCCCTGGGTCACAAACATCAAAGAACGAACAAAAAGCCATGCAAGCTTATTCTACTTGTTCCCACAATAGGAAGGGTTAGCCCAATATAATCAAAAGGTAAAGAGCACATGTTTCAAAAATTTGGGTCTTAGTCCTACCACTTAAAAATTAATCCTGAAAAACTTCATCAACTCCTCTGAACTTTTCTTTACCTGTAAAATGGGAAGAACAGTACCCATCTCTTAGTGTAGCTATGAAAATTGATAATGTAGGTAGAATGTTTGGCACAGGTGTTCAACAAATATTAGCTAGTGAGATATTGGATTTATGAAAATTAACTGGCTGTAATTTATCATAATTTATTAGCACTATAGATGTTAAAATCAGTACCTCGACCCAATCATCATCCTATCCCAACAGAAGTTTGCTGCTGCTGACTTAAAGTTCTAAGGAGCATTTTTCTGGTAGAGTTGAGATACTAATTTGGAACTTACAGACAACATCTATCCCGAGTGTTCGTATTTTGGCCATGTGAAATTAAACTTCCTCTAAATGGTGGAGATTGCATATCTAATATCTATGTAATAATCTGTTTAGTCTTAAAATATTGACCAGTGCTGCTAGGCTTTGTTGAGCAGACCAGAGGGAGAAAGGGTTGTTATGACATGAAGATAAATGAACAGTACTTAAGGAACTTGCATTTCAATTGAGCAGGATTTTTAATTAAAAAAATGAGTTTTTAAAAATTATTTTGCTCAGCAACAATAAAAAGAGAAAAAGAGCACTTAGCTGGGAACAATAGCTACTCAGCTCATAAAAAATCATTAGAAGGAGCATTTTCTTTTTCTACCATGCCTGGCAATTTTGCTGTGGGCAATGATCCAGATCACTTATATCCTACCTATAAAAATGAATCCTGATGGCCTTCCCAACTTTTTCAGCTAATAAATTAACACATTTTAATTTCTTAATGTATATAACTACCATAAATAAAACTTTGGCTCATAATTCATGAAATGTTTTTGACAAGTAGATGACACCAATCTACTAGTATTAGTAGGGTACGCTCTGGTATGCTTTTCCATTGGGAGGGAGGGACACTTCTGACATTATTTTCTCACTCCCATCAAGTCCTCCTTGCAGTCAGAGGTCTGTGTCTGGGTGATGACTGTTGGGCAAGGTGCAGAGCGCCTGTGGACAAGGTGGTTCCCATTGTACGAAAAAACAGCCTTTGCGGATATTGAACTTCTTAGTGCAGTCTCTATAGCTCATCCTAAGATGGTTGAGTCAGAGAAACTTTCTACTTTTGACATTGTCTGGCTGATTCACCCTCTCCCATAAATGTCATTAGACTATCTTAAGTTAATTGGGAAATGTGTCTAAGTCATTAAAGACTCTTGCCTGTGTTTAAGGTTCTCTATGACAATGGAAAGATTTTTGTACAGAGACAAAATGTTATTTCTAATGGCTCTACTGGGTAATCATAAGTAATACAGCTATTAATATTTCTTGTTAATAAAAATGGGGTAAAAAAGTGACCAATGTTTAAGAATGTTTTGTTTACTTTGAACATATTAAGCATTTTAAGAATGTATTTTGTATTTCTATTGCATGACATAATTTATCATGTTATCTCCTGAATGACTAAAACATCTTTTGTAAATAAAGCAATGTCTGCTACACTCAATACTCTCCTTACTAAATTTCTTTCCTCTTTTGACTGTGGTGCAAATGGGCACCACTGATTATAATCTATGTGGGTTTTCATGCTCCCCTTTAACGGTCCATCTGACTTATATAATTTTGTCTGTGAAGTAATTCTTATGCTTTTAAAAGGTCTTTTCTGTTACCTCATACTGCACCCAGATTGAAAGTGCAGTAACAAAGAGCTTAATTAAGCAGAATATACAATGACAGCAAATATGCAAAAGCAATCTTTTCTGAAGACAGGTAACCATTCAAATAAACTTTGTTTAGATGATAAGGAGTTGAGATGAATAAGACTGGTCAAAATCCAATTTTATAACTATATTGCCATTTAGAGAATTACTACAGAATTAACACCTGCCAAAAAATCATGGTTCAATCACTTGAAACTTCCTGACCCTGTATTCCAAGTAGTTGTTGTTACATTATACATGACTGATTTTTTTTAAAGTAATGCCTTAACTAATTTGATTAAAAAGAAAAAAACTTCCAACCTTTCCCTGCTACAAATGAAAAATGATCACTGATTCTTTCACAATCTTCTATCTTCTCCCTTTGAATCTTGGCAAGCTCTTAAGTCTCTGACAAACAATGTGGCAGAAATGCTGCCTTGACAGTTCCCAGACCCAGAATGAGTTTGGCAGCTCCCATTTCCGGTCCCTTGAACAACTATCTCCTGTAGCACAGCTGCTATGGTATGATGATGCTCAAGCAGCCCCGTGGAGAAACCCATGTATAGAGGAACTGAAGTTCCCAGCCAACACACAGTTCCAACTGGGAGCCACATGAAATGGCTTCTCCAGCCTCAGTTGATGCTGCCTAGAACACAGTGGAGCTGTCCCCACTGCATCTTATCCAAGTTGAGATTCAAGAGTAAAACAAATGGTTATATTGGAACACACCTGGAATCTTAACCCAAGGTATTCTAAAAAATAAAATTAATGGGGTGGTGAAAGAATAATTTATTTTCTCAACATCTGCTATGTGATTAAATGACTTATCCATTCTTATTCCCTGTAACAACCTTATTAGATAGAAGGATTTTCTCTATTTTATAGGAAGTTAGATAACTGTCCGAGATCATGTAACAGGAAGATAGTATTCAAAACCAGATCTGTTTGACTCCAAGGCACATAATTAACAGGAAAATGAGAACAAAATTCTAAGCCACTGAGGAATGACTAAATTCTCAAGACTACTTTGTCCCATTTCTTGCTTTTGAGAAATCCTGTACTCTAAACACACTGATAGATCTATTTCTCCTAATTCTGATCTCAGGAGAAACAATACTGAGTCACAATCTTTTTGTTTTGAGACAAGGTCTTGCTATGTATTCCAGGCTGGCCTTGAACTTACAGTGTTCATCCTGACTCAGTCTCCCAAGTGCTGGAATTATAGGTGTGCACCACCTCACCCAGCTCTACTGACTCACAATCATACAGTATCCTTATTATAAGGCCCGGCTCATTGCCGCTTGAACCATGAAGCCCCTTAACAGTTTTAAAAACTTCCTTAACTATTATCTATAACTTTAACAGAATTAATTATATATGTAACTCCCTATGGGTCAGAATCCATGACTGGTTCATACTTACAACTCAGAGGTTCTACCACAGGGTTTTACACATCAAAGGTGGTCAATAAATATTTGTAGAATGAATAATTAAATAAATATACAGTACAGAAGACTATAATTAAACACAAACTCCTCAGATAGTCTCTCAGCTCTTTTCAGCCTTTCCTCATAGGGCTCATTTTGAAAATCTTTAATCATTTTAGTGGCCTCCAAGTTCTCATGCTTCAGCTATAGGGTCTCAGAGAGAGCAGAGTTCCTTAACAAGTTCAGCCACTGTTTTAGAAATCACCATTTAGTAAATTCCAACACATTTCAGATCATTTTCTTGAGGATGGCAACCAGTGTTTGGTCTCAAAACACCTAAAGCACCTTACATAGGCAGAGTCCCAAATTCCTTTGTAGAACTAAGGAACAATAAGGGTATAAATACAAGCAGTAAGCAAATTTCTACTCATTGTTCACAAATCCCACTTTCACTGGTTATGGTTATACTTTTGCACACTTGTGTATGTGCATTTGTGTGTAGAGTTTAAGACTTACATAAAATTTTTTAAAAATGTGAACATCATAGAGAACATAAAGAAAAATACCAGGTATAGTATTTATGTAGTTCCTTTGAAAGAAAAAGCAAGCTGTTTAGTCTTTTATTGCTGTATAGTTTAAATGGAAGAATGACTATGGTCAATATATGTAGGAAAATTAAAACCAAATTAATTTGCAGAGGATTTCTTTTTTTAAGTTCCCCATATTTTTCCTCAGTGCAGTCTTTGAGCTTTGATCAATTTTTGGTAGTTGATTCTAGCAAGTCTTTTGCTTCATTTATTTTAGTTGCTAAATAAGGAGATCCACCTGAGAGGACAAAGAAAAAATAAATCCATTAAAACATGTCATTATTGATATTTTTACAGTCAATATAGAATAAATAATAATTCTGATATTTACTAACACATGCATTCTATTTTATGTTTACCAGAAAGCAAAACAATGTAAAATAGTTTAGTGAAGTAATAGGTATTCAACAATCAAAAATGACTTTTAAGAAAAGTGGTAAGTTATGATCAGAAAAAATTTGAAAACCATTCAAACATTTCACTAGTCAGACATTCATTCAGAGACTTGACCAGAGAATTTTCTGATAAGAGAATTAAATAACATTTTTTTAGTTTTTGTTTTTTTTGAGACAAGGTCTTGCTATGTAGTTCAGGCTGGCCTTGTACTTGCTGAAATCCTCCTGCCTCAGCCTCCTGAGTGCTGGGCATATGCTACTATGCCTGGCCACAAAATAAAATTCTTGCTGGGTGTGGTGGCGCATTCCTGTAATCCCAGGACTCAGGAGGCCACGGCAGGAGGGTCTCCATGAGTTCGAGGCCAATCTGAACTATACAGCAAGACTATGTCTTAAAAAAGACAAAAAGCAAACAAAACCCACCAAAAAAATCCAAAAAACAAACAAAAATATCACAACCCCAAACTGGTACAACATTATTTAAAAAAAAAAAAAATGCACATTCATTACCTTTACAGGAGGTAAATCAATCTGTGGGGTCTTTTAAAGTCTTACGATTTCACAAAAACAAAACGCATTTTTAAAAAATGCAACTATTTAACACCTGATGCTAAAAGTTGTATTTACTAATAGAGATGAAATACTAATAAATGAATGATAAAAAATGACCCTATTCTCTGATATGACCCTATTAGAATATTTTAAAATGTACACATAGATTCACAATCCCCTAAAATAGTCACTTCTTTTTTAGGGTTTTTTTTTTTTTGGTAATGAATTCTTTCTAATGCAAACAGCAAGAGGAAAATTGAAGGAAATTTCAAATACAGAAACAGTATAAAATTACAAACAGTGCCTATTTGACATACAAAAATATAAGCCCCAAACTGTCACATTAAAGCTATGCAAACATCATACTCCTTCTAACTTCTAGTCCTCAATACTGTCATTGTTTAATGCTTCAGCTAACAAGTATAATACAGTTAACCAGTCTCTGTGTTTGCTTTCATTTTGTATTCTCTCTTGGAGTACAAACCACTTTCCAACAAACTAAAAAACATCTAGATAGTATAGTTATACTGTCCTTACTTTATTCAGGCCTTTACCACTTACCTGAAGAAGGAAAAAGAGAGCAAGAACAACAGATCAACAAACAGGTTGTACTAGAAAGGGCAATGCTGGAAGAAGCTATATGTAGCTTTTGCCCTTGAAAATTCCACTGACATTTTCACATCAAGATCTGAATTGCTATAAACACTTGGCAAATATACCATACAGCGTCCTTGAATATATGATGGAAATTCAAAACACCACCTGTGGTTATGAAACAAATTGTCTTGGGCTGGGGATTTAGCTCAGTGGTTCTGCCGCCTGCCTTGCAAGCACAAGGTCCCGAGTTTGATCCCTGGTACCAAAAAAAAAACCCCCTCTCCCCCCAAAAAAACAAGCTGTCTTCACAATTAACTCTGTAAATGACCTTGGAATAAGTAATGTCAATCCTGGTAAGCTGTTTAAATTTTTAGATTTATCAAGGAGATGCCAGACATCTTGTGTTAACTTAAAAATATTAATATATTAATTGAGTTTAAACATAATCTTTGATTGAAATGTATTCTGGATATTTAATTCACAGGCCTCAGTATGTTCATTTAACAGCTGGAGAAAAAGGCACAGAAGACCCAAAGTCTTATATTTATTGATGGCAATGTTAGAGAAAAATTATTCAGAATAATGTGGAATTCTCTACCATACATTCTCTTTAAGATAGAGGAACAATGAACTTATAATTTGTGTGAATGGTAGCAAGTTTGGATTGGCTCTTGTGACTCCTGCTTTACCTCTGCCGAATACTTGGAAAAGCCAAAGTCCTACATTCGCTTCAGGTTGTGTTTGATTCACACTAGGTTTCATCAATTAGAGGGACTCTTGTGAGGCATTGCAAGCTGAAGAAAGGAAAAGGCTCTTTTGCTGCGCTTTGTTATTTCCGTGAGCAAGCAAGTGCATAGTATGGTGGTAGCAACTGTGTTTCATGCTCAGCTCTAGTGGCCCATGGTCTGTGAGGCAGAAGCTTCCCTGACCAAGCAGCTCTATGATTGCTTGTGAAGTCATTCTTGCAGGCCAAGTTTAGAACTTACTCCTTTATGCCGTTTAACAATTTGTAAACTGTACTAAATGTTTTCCTGTTAGTTTCTGACACTGAATTTTGAATGAGAATATAATATAGAACATATACCCTATGTTTAATTAAAACAACATGCTTGTGAATTTTCAATCCCTCTATTTTCTAATTATCTCAATTAGTTAATTTACAGAAACCCACAAATTGGTTACAAAAGACTGTATTTTAAATAATAGAAAAAGATATATGCTAATAAAAAGGAAGTGCAACTGCTATAGTGATTATCAGATGAAGAGCAGTGTTGCAAGGATCTACTGGTAAGACAAAGCAATTATAAATTTGAATATACCCAATAGCACAACCTTCAAGTATCCAAAGAAGCCACTGACAAAACCAAAAGGAGAAATACACAAATTCCCAATAATAGTGGAGATTTAATATACCATAGTGAGATTTAATATACCACTTTCAATAATTCATTGAATATTTAAGAGAAAAAGAACATTAAACAACATGATGAAGAAACATGATCTAACTGACTTACATGACTCTATAAGCACGGAATACACATTAGTCCATGTGCGTGTTCATTCAGACAGGGATTTGCTATGTAGTCCAGACTGACCTCAAACTCGTGGTGACCCTCTTGCCCCAACCTCCCAAACATGTTTTAAACTGCACAAGGAATGCTTACTGAAATTGACTGTGGACTAGGACAAGTTTCAACAAACTTCAAAGATTGAATTCGCAGTGAGCAGTGCTACTCAAAGAATGTTCTACGGAGTAATGCTGGTTCACAGTTGCTATTAGACTACAGCCAGGAAAGTATAGAAGTTGAGAGTAAGTGTTTAGAAATATTACAGCCCTTTGATATTATGTATTTGTAGTTCTATATAATCTAAAAATATAAATTGGTGCTTAGATCTTACATTTTTTCACTTCAGTTTTAGAGCAAATTCATTTTTGTTGTATTTACAAAGGCTATCACCCACCAGAGTTTGAAGAAATAAATTAAGTCCTTGTCTGCCACACAGAGTATGAACAGTACTCATATAGGGCATATTAACTTACCACTGCAGAATTATGCTAGATATCATTAACAAACACATCTGGAAAATCCTAATTTTTGGAAATTAATCAATATACTTCTAAATAATTCATGTATCAGGGAGGATATCAAAAAGAAATTAGACATGAAAACTAACAAAATAATTTTTACATTAAAATGCAAAGGGCCACAGATAGTAAAAAAATTTAAATAACAAAATTTGAAGGATTTATATTATAAGAAATAAGAACTTTCTATGAAGCTACACAAATTAACATAGTCTGGTATTGGCACCACGTTAAAAAGTTAAGCAATAGACCCGGGGATTTAGCTCAGTGATTCCACTGCCTGCCTTGCAAGCAGCACAAGGACCCAAGTTCAATCCCTGGTACCAAAAAAAAAAAAAAAAAAAAGCTAACCAATAAAAGAAAAGAGAAAATACAGAAGCATTCCAATAAATATCTGGTTATTTCACTTACAGCAAATGTAACACTGTAGATCATTGGGAAAAGAATGTCCTTTTCAATAAATAATGCTGGACTACTTGGGCATCAATATAAAAACAACTTAAACTTTATCCCTGTCTCCATGACATATAAAAGTCAATTTCAGGTTATTAGAGACATAATTATATAATATACCAGGAGCCAGGAATTATCTTTATGACCTTCAGACTTCCATGAATGTGATAAAGGTAAAACTTAGGGCAAAAATAGCACTCAATGTAAAGGAAAATTTTGATAAACTGGATTGTATTAAAACTAAGCCTTTTTGCTCATAAACAGATACCAGTAAAAGTATGGAAAAAACAAGCTACAGAGGGAAGACATTTGCAATACAAAGGACTGATATTTAGAATACCCATATATAGTGTTCCCCCAAATTAATAGAGATAAACAGAAAAACGTAATAGACTATTCATATCATGGAATACCATGTAGCAATAATGGTGAATCAATCACTACTGTAGCATTTACTACTACAGGAACAAACCCAAAAAAGATAATAAAATGAGAGAAGAAAAATACAGAAAACTATATATAATATTTTATTTATATAAAACTCAAAAACAGGGAAAACTAATCTATAATGATAAATAAATAGTGACTACTTTTGGAAATTCAGGAGTAAATGGAAAAGTACATGAAGAGAATTTTTCAAAGGTGGGTGGTATAAGTACTGGCTACATAAGTGGGTCCACTTTGTGACAACTCACTATTTACATATTTATATGTGTGTCCTTTTATGAATGTACATTTCAATTCTTAAAAAAGTTTATTAAATTAATGGTGGAAGTACACTGACTTCCATGTCCTTTGATGACAATGTCCAAAATCCATTAGGACTCAGCAAATATGATCAAGATCATAATGATGATGACAGGAATTGAGTATCGTTCTAATATATTAGGTTTCTTTGATTTTTCCAACTACCCTTTTTAGTAGCTCAATTCTTATTTTTGTTAAAGAGACTAAATTCTTAAAAATTTACATACCCAATACTAGCCACAGAGCTAATAACAGGGTGGAAACTGGAGTGCATTCATTCTCAGGAAGCTTGGCTTATGAGTCTACATTTCTTTTAATCACTATACTACACTGCCTCTTATTTTTTTTTATAGGATTTCTTATTGTTAAATTCCTGTCAGGTTAAATAAGGTTAAAAAAAAAAAAACT